CTCACTCGCCTCTCTCACTTTATACAAACACAAATGTATACATTGGCGTTTTGTGTTTGTATAAAGCGAGAGAAAATTGTATATACAAATACAAATGCATATATTTTCATCCTATACACTTATGATAATACAAATACGATCTTCCCCTGCCCAATTTTCTTTTGTCTTTCTCTCTTTCTCGCTTTATACAAATACAAATTATACAATTAATCTTTTGTATATGTATACCGAAACAGATTATACAATTGCTTTCTTTTGTTTATGTATAGCGAAATATACATATTTATGTTTGCAATGAAGCGCAATTATGCAAATTATAGCTATAACATACAAATATGATTTTTATATTTGCTATATATGTGAAAGTTGCTCATCAATCAAACTCAATAGATTTGACTTAAACTTTAGGCATATATGAAAAGTAAAGGTAAAATTTAGGAAAAATTACAGAAATCCCACCTTTTAGTTTACTTATTACTATTATCCCCTATAAGTTTTACAAATCTCCAAAATCCCTCATTTTCGCGCATCAGATTAGTGTATCTCGCGCATCAGATTAATGTATCAGCGCTTATATTATTAGTTCTCTCGCATCAAATTAGTGTATCATATATAAAATGTACATCAGATTAGTGTATCATGTATAAAATGTAATGTATCTTACTTAACGATTTAATGTATCTCGCGCATCAGATTAATGTATCAGCACTTATATTATTGTATCTATTTGAGAGATTTCTGTAATTATAAACTTTTAAGGGATAAATTGTAATTTTGCCTTAAAAGTATGTGATTTCTGTAATTTGCCCTAAAATTTAAAGATCACTCTAAAATAGGAATAATCGGTAGCAAAACTTGAAAAAGGGGTCTTTTGTCCGTAAGACATAGCCTGAGGCCCATATCAGTATTGATACAGCGCAAAGCCCATTATAACCCACACGACTCTTCCACCTCAAAGAGAATTACAAAAATAACCTGTAGCATTATAGGTTTATGATGCAATTACTCAATTTAAAGGTAATTTATTTGAGAAAGACAACTTTTTTGTTTAAATGATAGAGAAGTTACTTAGTTATTGTGATTCCACGTATAAAGTCACTCATGTTATATCTTCAGTAGATAATGCAGGCATAATTTATTTACCTTTTAAATTGAAACATTACAAAAATTAAAAATTATCCATTATTTTATTAAATTGATCCACTCCTCAAATTCGATCCGGTAAAATTAAATGGGTGGAATATAGAGTGCAGGGATCGGCCTCTTTTATTTTCTACAAAAATATTTGAAAATAGCTACAAGCTTTATCACTAAATTGTTCATAGCTAACATAGTTTTTAAATAATTTATCTATCGCTAAGTATATCGATTACTATCTCACTATGTTGTATAATACCTATGGATTCCTTTTCCCCTCTCTCGACGTAGGGCTATTTTTGTGTCTTCTTCCTCCTTAGGTTAGGGCCATCTCTAGGTTCTAGCTATCTGCTTAAATGACTTATTCTTCAACAAGTGTATGTTTAAGGAATGAATACATATACGTAAAATAAAACCACGTTAATTTAGCATATTTTAAGAGCATAAATTAACCTTTTTTTGCTTATTAATCATACAAATATACGTGCCCGCGCGTTGCGCGGATTTTAATTTTTAAAAAAAACTAACAAAATTTACTATTCACTTTGCAGTGTATATTTTAAAAAATAATTATACAAATCAATTAACGTATTTATTTGTGCATATTACGGTATCATTTTTATTAATACACAATTTACTATTATGTTTATAGTTAGAATTAGCTACATTTGATATTATTATTTAATATAATTAAAGATAATTAATAATTAACTATTTGATATTTTAAAATTTTATAAACGCTATAACCTATAGATGTTTTAAATAATTAATTTTAATTAAAAAATTTGTCATATTTTAATCAGTTACAAATCCACTGTTATCCAAAAAAAAATTTAATTATTATTATTTAACAATTTGCACTTTTATTTTTAAATTACATTCAAAATAGGAAATTTTAAAATTCAAATTGAAAAATAATTTTCGTGGAAACTAACAAATATGTAATTCAAATTCATTGTTATCCAAATTAGAATTTACCTTTTATTTATAAATTGTATTTTAAAGTAGGAAATTTTTAAAATTCAAATAGTAAGGAAGTTTCAATTCTGTTGAATAGATATTTTTCTTTTTTAAATGTATTTCAATAATAGATAATTGAGTTGCTTAAAATTTAAAATAAATTGCTTATCAGTTAATCAAATCCTATTCTTTAGCAACGTGAAAATGTGGATAGAATTTGCTGACATGTGTTTTTTTTTAAAGTCATATTTCTTTTTACATTTAATTTTTAAATACTTAAATTTTAAGATTAATTGTGGCGCTGACACGTATGCTGTTTTTCCTCTCCTATTATATATAGATAGATATTTAGCTTAATTGAGGTTTTGAGTTAAATTAAAAGCATGTTTAGACCAACTAAGAGCATATGTGAATTCAATTATTAATGGACATAATTTTGAATACTTTAAAGGCATATTTGGACCTTTCTCATTTTCCAAAAGTTTGGCTCAAATAAATAATTTCACTTCATCAACATGTACAAAAGAACATCACATAAATTATTTACTCAAATGACTTTGATGTGACAAATAATTGAATGGTTTTTTGTTATAAAATAATTCTTAAAATAACGTTTTGAGATAATTATTACGGACTGAATGATCGTATGAGAACGTAATCAATTTTTTTTTTCCTTGTGAAATTGAATATTCAAACTAATGTTGAATTACACCGTCAATCACGTTGCAGAAGGCAAGGTGCATCGAATTTAATCAATGTAATTGATGGAATTATCTTCTTTTTTAATAAAAAAAGAAGTAAAAATGAAAACTATAGTCTAGTATTGAAATTTGCAATTTGACTAGATTCTGTGTTAGTGGAGGTAGAAAAAAACATAGGGACACACAAAAAGTCCATCACTTAATAAAGGCAAAAATCAACTGTAGAATTTCAGTCAACAATCAAATAATGCCAATTTGAAGTGGCATGTACTTAATTAGTACCAAATTTTTAACGTATATCATTGACTCATGCATGTACTAGTGAAACTAATTCCTTCACATTATCTTTGACACAAACTCAGTGGACTATTTAAAATGATAAGCTTGCTAAAATCGATGTGTTTCCAAAATATCAAAATAATTTATTTTTGATACTTATTAGTTTATACACAACAATGTAACCTTAGTGTAATACGATGACAAGAAGTTAATTATATATGTTAATCGTACAATCAAATTATACACATACCATTTCATTAAAAAATGATGTTGGACATCCTTACTATATATAAAAACGCAAATTTTCAATAGACATTTCTATCATATACCATTAAAAATATGGAATTTTTGAGAAAAAAAACCATCAAAAACGTTTTCGACAAATAAATTCTTGTCTGAAATTTTCAACTTTTTTGTTGTGTGATCTGATACTGTAGTGCCAAAGGCACATTAAATAAATTAGTTTCATTCTGACTATGTTGAAACAACTTATAAGCAATAGGTGAAACTATTTAGAAATAATAATGCAAATTAAACATCAACATTAAATAAGATTTAGTTAAAAACATTTCAAAATCTGTTTTTCACTATAAAAGAATTTGATTTATAGGTATATTATGTAGTTTAATATATATAAAAACATATTATTATTCAAATAGAAATTAAAAACCTCATAGAGCTCAAATTCAGATTTATATCTACAAATTGAATTGTGACAATAGATCGACAAGGCCCTAAGTCAGTACTGTGATTACGAATTCAGCACAATCTAGTACTTAAGTTTAAACTCTGTATTTTTGTATTAAATTTTTTATTTAAAAGTATATAACTGTGATTCAAAATTTCTAAACTAAAAATGAAAATGCTTAAGCCACCACCGAAAGTTATAGTGGCGTAGTAAGTACTCATTCATTCTTAACCTAAAGATTAAGTTATAGTGGAATAGTAAGTATACATTCATCCTTAACCTAAAGATCTCGAATTTGTGTTCTCTTAGATACGAAGCCATCTTTGCTAAGGAGCGCATGAATCTAAATTTATTCAAACTCCAATATAAATATGGACATCGCAAAAAAATATGGTGGGAGAAGTGGTGGTGGAGTGCGTGTGGTGGGTGGTGGGCGGGGGGTTATAATGTGATAGGATAAAGTCGAAAAAAAACGTGAAATGAAGCTTTTTAGAATGTGGTGTGTATGTGTTTATATGAAGAGGAAAAAGCAAATTGTCAGGGTAAAGAAGATATCCCCACCCCACCCCACACATAACATAATAATAATATTGAATCGACATAAGCTTAGTCTAGTAGCATGCTTCCCAATAATTTTCAGCTTTGTAAACCATCAGTACTACTACTACATTATTTTTTTCATGGATATATACTGACATAGAGAATCTTTTCTTTTTTCTCTGTCTCACCCTATCTTTTTTTTTGTGGTCACCATGCCATAATAATTTCTAACATCAATTTAGACCTTTTATACCAATCAATTACAACAAATTAATCCATCATTATTTGGGTTTATTCATCTATTAAAATGCCACATTGATGTTACCTATTTAGAGGGAATCTATAACTGTCTTTATTTTTATCCTTGAGATGTATCCAAAAAATAGTATATTCTCTTTTTCCCATTTTTAAAATAGAAATTATTATTCAAGAATTAGTTAAAAACATTTGAAAATCTGTTTTTAACTATAAAAGAATTTAATTTATAGGTATTTAACGTAGTCTTTATATATATATATATATAAAAAAAATATACACCGCAAATAATTTTTTAAAATTTAATTATATGATATGATGAACTACTACTTCAATTATCATGGATATGTACCTCAGTTCATTTGGTGTCAAATTGACATAGAAAAACAAGAATATTGCTATGGGAAAATCATTAACAAGAGTAAAAATGATGAAGGAAATAAACAAGAAAATGGCATAACCAACTTAATAAAATGATAATCATATTAAAACAACAAAGTCTCCCTCTCTTCTATACCCAAATATACCCAACCATTTTCCCCTAAGCTACAAGGAGGAAAAAATTTACTACAGAAAAAAAAAAAAAACTCAAATGAAAAAAAGTTATCATTGTTGGTTAATTCCTCTTATATGAGGACTCCAACATTGTAACCCCCACCCAAAACCTAATACACATTCTGAAAAATACATCAAGAAATTAAAATTGCAATGTCATGCATCTATATACATACAAAATAAGATTAAAATTAAAATTAAAACTAATTAACTCACTGGAACTAGAAAGCAGCTTCTTCTTCAACTCTGAATGATGTACTCTTCATGATAAAGCTAACTTGATATTGTGATGGGATGAATAGGATCCGAGGTTCCTCTCAGCGCAAAATGAGAGACTTTTTCAACCTTTTGACTGTAAAAATTTAGTAGGGCTGAAAATTTACTTGCAGCTGACATGATCACTCCGATCCAACTCCTCCCATAAATATGAAGTCATGTTGTTTCTTCTTCTTCTTCTATAGTCTTGACAATATTTTAGTAGAAGGGAGAAAAAAGAAGGTATGTTGTTCGGATCCTTCAAAAATACTATTGGATATGTGTATATGATACGAGTACAACAACATTCTTGGAGGATCCGAGCAACATAGACGAAAAAGTACCTACCTAGCTAGGAAAGACACATGTTAATAAAAATGAGAGGGAGATCAAGAAGGAAAAAAAGACAAATTAAATGTACTTGTCCTAGATGAGAGAAGGGACTGAATTAGACCCCATATTTGAAGGATCAAGCCAAGCACCATTCCAAGAAAGTGAAGGATCAGATGAATTAATAATTTGTTCATGAATCTGATGATTTGATAGATCCATTTTCTCTTCTTTCAACATTGTGTTCCCATTTCCACCACCTTCATGAACATTATTAATAGTATTGTTGTTGTTGTTGTTGTTCCCCCTTGACATTTGCAATTCCTCATAATTAGGAGTCAACAAGTTGTGAAAATTGTTACCATTAATATTGGACATGAACTTTTGTTGTTGAAGGCTTGAAGCTATAAGAGAAGCCATAGTTGATGTTGATGATGAAGATCCAAACATATTAGGGTAGCTTGAAAGAAGTGAAGTAGTTGAAGTTGTAGAATTACTAGTACTCATGACATGAACATCTTGGATTTGCTTAATAGGATATAACCCACCATGCCCATAATTATTATTATTCTCATGACCCATATTGACTACTCCTCCAGAAGAATTTGAAAACCCTAGCCCCATACGACGATCCATTAATCCCGGGATACTGTCTGTTATAGAATACACTTGTCCCTCATCGACTCCTCCACCATGACTCGAAACCCTAGAATTAAAAAGCCTTGAAAATGGAATGTTGAGATCAGACCTCTCACTAGTCAACCCATAAAATAAAGGGTTAAGATGATTTGGTGAATTTGTAGTAGATAGATGGTCAATATTATTATTATGATGTACTCCATGAAGTTGATGATGGTGGCTAGGGTTTACAATATTTGGAGTTGAAGTAGTAATTATATCATGACTAGTAGTAGTAGTAGAAGAAGAAGAATTAACTGATGGTCTCTTGATTCTCTTGTTCTTCCTACATCCACCTCCAACAGGTACATTCCTTAATGTTCCTCCTCTAGTCCAATACCTTTTACATGCCTTACAAAAGTGTCTTGGCTGAGACAAACTATAATTGTTGTAGTAACAAAACTTCGTATTCGACGAATCGCAACGAGGACATTTAAGATGTGGTGGTGGTGGTTGTTGTGACGGATCTTGAATTGGTTTCTCCATATTATTACTAGTAGCATTAGTACCATTTGAATCCATCATCAAGTTATTTTTCTCATCTATCTGAAGAAGAGAGAAAATATCGTATTAACAATCGAAATATGATCGAAAGAAAAAAAAGAGAAATTAAAGAGTGAATGTGTGATAAGTTTAGGGTAAAAATAATAACAAGACCAATGTATAGAGATATTCTAAATCCAAATGCTACAAGACAAAGATGGGGTCATGGGGGGTGGGGGTGGCGTGGGGATATTTAGACTAATAATTGAGAAAGAGAAAGGAAAGAAACCTGTGGCCATATTTGATTAGTAGTGGAAGAAGAGATGAGTACCATCTTCTGATCACATTCTCCCACCATTTTACTTCTTTCACAAAAAAAAGGAATCGTTTTGAAACAAAGAATAAGCAGACAAAGTTAGCTAGGTGGCGACGTGAGTCTTCTTTCTTCACGGTTTGAGACAAATATAATACTTAGAGAAAACAAAAAATATAAAGTACTGTAGTAAGTAAGCATTAATTAAACAAGGAAAAAAAGTCTGATATACTCCTCAACTTTGTCATTTCGAGCTAATATATTCTTCGTTATGAAAGTGGCCCATATATACCCCTACTTATATATAAATGGCTCACATATACCCTTTTCCTCTAATGGAAATGAAAAAAAATTAATTTTTATTTTATTTTTAAAAAAAAAAAATCCCATATGAGTATATTTAATCCTCCTTAAACATAACTTTTTTTAACTTTTTTTGTTTCAATGACTAATTTAGATTTATTATTTTGATGGTCAAATTTATTTATGTTTCACTTGTAAAACTTATTATAGATGACCAAATTTTTTTCTTCAAATTAGAAAAATTAAATTACAATATAGACAAAAAAATAGTTTTATATTTTTTCTTTACACTAAGGAATGAAAGAAAAAAATAAGAATAAGAAACTCAAATAATTATAATCAAAGAAGTCAAAAAATAATTTATGTATGAAAAAGATTAAAATATACCTTGAACTTTGCTAGAAGAATCATATATACCCCTCAATAATTTTTAAGAAAATTAAAAGTACAAAAATATAAATTTAAAACTAATTTTTTCACTTTCGTTAAATAAAGGGTATATGTAAGCTTATTTTGTAACAGTAAAGATATATGTGAGCTTATTTTGCGCTAATTTCACGTGAAGGGTAAGGTCTAGAATAAACTTATGTCCTCTATTACTTTAATATTTACTTTGAAAGTCCAATATAGTAGACAAAGGTTTTCGCCACCGTAAATAAGCTAAAGTTTTATATTATAGAATATGATTATTTTATCGAATCACTTCATTGGAAAAATATATGGTAGAAAATAAATAAAGTATTCATGAAATAGTGGAAAGTTTTCTGATTTTTTTCTTCATATGAAACATTTACTCGAGGGATAAAAGAGTCTGATATACCCTTCAACTTTATCATTTAGGGCTGATATACCCCTCATTATGAAAGTGGTTCATATATTCCCCTATTGCTATACAAATGGCGCGCATATACCCTTTTCCTCCAACGAAAGTGGAAAAATTAATTTTAATTTAATATTTTAATTATTATTTAAAAAATTTATATATAATCCCATATGTGTATATTTAATCCTCATTTTTTTTTTACTTTTTTTGTTTCAACGACTAATTTAAAGTTATTATTTTGATGGTCAAATTTATTTATGTTTCTCTAATTTTCTTGTAAACTTTATTATAGATGACCCAATATTTTTCAATACAAAAACTAAATAACAATATAGTCGAAAAAAATAGTTTTAAATTATAATATAGCCACAAAAAAATTAGTTTTAAATTTTTCTCTTTACACTAAGGAACGAAAGAAAAAAAAAAGAATAAGAAACTCAAAAAATATAATCAAAGACGTCAAAAAATAATTTATGTATAAAAAAGATTAAAATATACCTTGAAATTCGCTAGAAGGATCATCTATACCCCTACATGATTTGTTTTAAATTTAAAAGTCAAAAACATAAATTTAAAAATATTTTTTTCACTTCAGTTAAATTAAGGGTATATGTGAGCTCATTTTGTAACGGTAGGGGTATATGTGAGCCGTTTATATAACGGTAAGGATATATATGAGCCACTTTCATAACGTGGGGCATATCAACTCCAAATGACAAAGTTGAGGGGTATATCAAACCCTTTTCCCTTATTTCTTTTCACATCGATTCAATCAAAATATCTGTGGAAATAACTAATAAAAAAATTAGTTAGTAGTGACTTGAAATTCAAACATTTTTTCCTTTTGATCACAATATTATGTCTTTTCAATTATTATGATTTATAATATATTTTGTGTAATTTACAATTACGTAAATTGTATTTCAAATATTAAACCTAAAGATTTTGTATCTAAATTCACAATCAAACAATGTCAGATAAATTGAGAGATTTAACTATCACGTTAATTGAGATAGAAAAAAAAGGATTGAAATATATGGAGAGACCACATTCTTAATGTAAGAAGAAGACAGAGAGATAAAGCAAGGAGCATATGGTAAGATGAATCTCTCGAGGTTCAAGAAAGAAAGAAAATATTCTCTAGTACTACAACTAGTAGTTGATAATCCAACATCAACATCACTAATTTTAATAACTAAACAGAAATTCTCTGTTTTAAATTTGATTGAACAGAGAGAGTCATACTTAGATAGGAGGGAATCCCTAGGGTTCAATATCCAAGGCACAAACACGATACAGCAAATCCCACTCCACTACTTTAATTAAATTACTATTAAACTAGTGTGGAATATTGTATAAATATAGCTTAATTAATTAAATTATGTGTGGGTGATAATGTTATACTATAAGATATACGCTTAATTAGTATGTAGATAATTAATTATATTGTGCAATCCTATATGGAAAATGTCACCTCATCTTATGATCTAGCTAGTGTAGTCTATTATATTATATTACATGGTGGGTTGTCATCCAATATTGTGGCAGCATAATATCATTATTGAGCCTGTGTGTCAAATGCATCAATTACAGTACACTATGTACTTTTATTTTCCTTTAATGTTTTATTGCAAATTTGTTGACATCGCAATTTTGAGTGAGGGATTTTGAATTTTTTTTCAAAATGACAAGAATGTATTAAAAAAAAAAAAATTAACTTGTGAAAACTTAAAAAATAAAAATATTCTAAGCCCTTGTCCATCACATAATTAATAAGCTTAACTCAACTCCAAAAATTAGCTCATGAGGGATGATTGTCTAAGTTCATATAAGGAGACCAAATTTTCATCATCTTTCAGATATGAAAATTTATAACACTTCTAGCACGTCCAAACCTCGTTAACTGAAGTATATATGGACACTATAATATGGGGCCCAACTCGATGAACAAAATCTACTCTGATACCATGTAAAGATGAATTTTGAGCTTAACTCAACCCCCAAAACTACTTCATGAGGAGAGAATTATCCAAATTCATATAAGAAAATCAAATTTCGATCCATTTTCCGATGTGAAAATTCTTAACAGTCTTATACGTATGTTTCTCTCATGAGGAAAAATAATTTTTTTAAAATTGAAATTTATGTAATTAATATCGAGGGTAGATCTAGAAGTTTGATTATAGATTTATGTAAGTCCAATAGCTTTTCTCAAACCTCATATGATCCCGAAAAAATTTACAAAACATCCATAAATAATTAATTATAAACTCAATTATTTTTGTAATATTAATTTTAAATCATGGTAAGAATTCACAACCTTGAAATCCTTGTCCTCCTATAAATGGAGACTATGATCAAACTTAAAGGTAGCCAATATGTAGCGTCTGGCAAACTCAATCTAGATTCTAAGAATGGACAAAACAATTTCTGAAGTGTCCCCGCAAATGCACTAATTTTTGTTGGTGGGTTTGAATGCGATGTGTACATGTTTTTCTCCTTAATTTATATCTTACTCGATCCGTCCTTATATTCCTTTTAAGAAATCATAAATAAAAATTATATTTTTACTAATTTATCTCTTAAAATGTCTTTTTTGAAACCTTACAAACTTGTTTACACTTTCAAAAAAATATGTAAGGATAAAATGATTTTTTAAAAATTAATTTGATCTTGATTTTATAAATGGACAACAATTTATAGTAACGTGGTCATACAACTAATATGGAATTGGGAATAATTAATGATGTGCTTAATGAATATGATGAAGAAAAAAGAAGGAAACTTTGGAGTGTTTGCAGAAACTTATTACTAGATCTATATTAAAACAATTACTACATATCCTAAGATAGTGAAAAATTCCAAGAAGAAAGTGACAAGAGGCTGCATGTGGATGTCCACATCTCATTCTCTTGAGTCTCTATTGCAATATGTACCTCATTTTGAGTTTCAGGCCATCCTTTATTCTTAAGTTTTACTTTTCTCTATTTTTAGGCCTTCAATAGTTTAATATTATTAATTCTACTAATTCAAATTCATACCAAGTGGGTTCACTGAGGAGTTGTCTTTTTTTGTTGAGATTTTTCATCCTCAAGTCTCGAATTAAGTCGCACCATAATCCTTAGTGATCCAAGAATTAGCACTTGGCTTTTAGAATTTTATGGTCGTTTGGTGTGAAAGATAACACTAAATAGTTTTAGGATTAAATTATAGTGCCACTTAATTTATTGTTTGATTGGCAAGTCCGGAATAATTTATTCCAAAATTAATAACTAGTACCGGGATAAGTTATCCCTCCCTTTGGGTGGTATAGTAATAGCGGGATAACTTATCCGGGGATAAAGTAGGTAAATGACAAAGATATCTCTTTAAACCCTTTTTATACATCATTGTTCATATTCATAAAGGGTATTTTTGTAAACAAATAACATGTTCTTAAAATCTATGCAATGCATATTATTTTGACTACAACAAATCTAACACTCAATACGAAATAAACTCAACATAACTTATCCCATTATAACTACTCCCAACATATCTTATTCAATCATAACTAATCTCAGGATAACTTATCTCATCATAACTAATCTCATTAATTATAACTTATATTCAAACCAAACGACCCCTTAAGTCTTTCAAATATTTTAAAATTTGATGTTGTAATTTATGATTAAACATATTTAACCTTCTTGTTCCCTTAAGACTATGAATATTCACAAATCAACAACGTATGGCATGCTACATATTCAATTATTTAATGTCTTGTGTTGAATTTTTACAATTACTCCATATATCCGATCGAGAGTAATATATAATATTGTTGTAAAAGTAAGTAGTCTGAATAACACATATTTAGGATATAAAAGGAATTAAAAAACACACAATTTATTCAATTATATGTTTCATATGCTTAACTAAATCTTACGAGGACCAATCTAGAATCCAAATCAGAATATTTTTTTCTGCTCTTTTTCATGACTTCGAAGTAATGGTAAAG